AAGTTCTATACTAGATGCCATACTTGCAAGCCAACTAGAGGTCTTGCCTATTTAAACCCTCTGCATATGCAATCCTTCTTGTATCATGAGAACATCTTCAAGACTACATCCGGATCATCTACGAATTATATAGAGTTTATTTATTTTAATGAGAATAAATTATGAGAAATTTACACAAAATGAAAATAATTATGGATGAGAGTCTAAAATAAAAATTCTTACATATAACCGAGCTATACTAGGAGACTAAGCTGCAAGACTTACATAGTGTCGCCCCAAAAAAAGGTAACTGGATTAAAATGATTATAAATAACTTTAAGAATATAAATAAATTTTTTTACACGAAAAAACTAAAGGTACTATTCACATATCTCGCCAACAAACTTATGATTTTACGAGTTTTAACACATTTATTAAAAAGATTTTTATACATAACTAAATAACACAAATAAAAAGATATAATATGCTACGATCATTTTGAACATTAAAATTCTTAACATTGATAAACAAGAGAAAAGTATGAAATGTTCACAAACTTAAATAGCTTATTTAAACAATCGATCAAAACTATATTTTTGTGAAATTAACACAGCAAAATTCTTAAAGTAAAAGTGAAAGTCAAAACGAATGTCAGAGCGAAAGTCATAGTGAAAGCAAAAAAGTTAAAGCGAAAGTCAAAGCAAAGGAGAGTCAAAGCGAAAATTAAAGTCAAAATGAAAGTCAAAGTCAAAGCGAAAATAAAAATAAAAATAAAAAGTTCTAATGATTATCATTACTGTATTAAGCATGATAGAAAACAAAAAAAACCAGGCTACTATTTTTTCTGGGCGACGCTATGTAAGTCTTGTAGCTTAGTCTCCACGTATCTCGGAGATCGGACAGGCCCTTATTTGTAATAATTTTTATTTTGGGCCCTCACCCGTAATTATATTTAATTTTGGATCTTTATATGTAAATTACCCTAAAATTATTGGCCAACACATTTCTATTGGCTATTATCTGGATATCCGTAATATTTACAGATATTCGGATGGCATTTTTGAGAATATTTATTAACAGATATCTGGTGGAAACGTATACCCTATCCGATACCCTATCCGGATAGCTATTTTTGAGCGCGGATAACTATCCGGACATCCGGATCCCAACACTAATGTGAAGAATGTATAAAGAACTTAGACAACGTAGAAAATATTTGAATAAATTATTTAGCATACCAAAGATACATAAAAAGGTTTATTGTTCACATATCTTAAATGGCAAGTATTTCAATAATAATTTTATTAATTATAATAATTGTGATAATAGTTACTGCAATAATTGATAAATTGCAGCATTATGATACCTATTATATTATGGTAGTGTCAAAGCATCCAGACCATCCGGGCATAAGCATTTACATAATAAATACATAGAATGTAATAATTTTTATTAAATTTACATGATTTATATAATCTTTATACAAGAATTTTAAGCAAATAATGTTGGAAAACATAAATAAATAATTGTAGCACTACTGATATCCTGCAAACTTAAATTCAGATAATTATAAGATTTGAAATAGTTATACTTATTAAATGCCTGTTTTCTGAATATTTAGTATTTTTAATGTTTATTAAATCGATTAATAGAATTTGTTAAATAATCATGGCCAATATTTTTTTAACTTAAATGATAGTCATAATCAATTTTTTATGTGCTTTGTAAATCTATATATGTGAAATTTTTTTAAAGTGATGTTAAAATTTTTTTGTTAGTTTTTTTTATCTAGCATGGCATTTCCAGTCATAATATTGTTGAGCTTGAATTTAGTATCTACTTGAAGATGTAAACTTGCCAATAACCATTAACTTATTCATGCAAGCAGATCTAAATTCAGGGGTTACTTTCAGTCAGTGCAACTTCAAGTAAGCACCCAACTTCAATCACCGTTACAAAGATCCCAACTTGAAATTGATCAAAATAGTAACCACATTTTGACATGATTTTCAACATTCATATTTAACTAATTACGTAATAGTGCTGTTCTTGGTTAGTACATTGAATAATTTGATGGAAATTTATAAAGCAAATGTTTAGTTTCATTTGGCATCAACATCGAAAAATACTCATTGCGTAAATGACATACTTACATAGATAACAAAAAATTACAAAATAGTATTTCACACGAATGGTCTTTTTACTGAATGATGTTTTTTCTAAAATTATTGTGACACAAATTACTTAAATTACGTTTTCTTAGAAATGTTGTATGGATTAATTTTTAAAATGCTTATTACGTAAATGTAGAAATTACATGATGATTCAAGTCTAGAATGAAATTTTAGGTAATACATTACAATAAAATTGTGCAAGTAATATTGACCAATCAATTTCATGATAATTAATAAATCGCACGTAAATTAAGCCAAAAGGTTGCAAATAATTAGGGGTTAGTTCCAAGATTGAGATAGTAAATTTCTCAAGTTTTTAGTTAGACTGTACTGCAAAAGGTTATTTTCAAAAAAAAGGGGAAATTAGCCAAAATGAAAAGGTTACGAGTAATGATCCAAAATAAACATTTGCATATTGAGGGAAAATCTTGTAAATAAGGCTATAGGTAATTTCATCTGGTTGGTCATTTACATATAGTTGAATTTATACAGTTTAAAATCTGTCGAAAGTTTGATATTTATAATTATAAAAATTAAGGTGGTATACATGCGATAGCTATAGTATTTCTAAAGTCATTTAGAAGACAACGTTTGCTAAATGCATTATAAAACATATATGTATATCTTTGGTTGGATTATCCAGTCATGATAATGTCTCAAAAACCGATGAAATGATTGAGAGTCTAATCGTGATACAAATATAGTCATCAAAAAGTGCATTACTAATCGTATAAAAAAAAAAATCTATCGTAATTGATAAAGGGTTATTTGTTTCTTGTTTTATAAAATGTCTTTAGCTCTAATTTAACCGCTTTTGCCTATATCTTTATGGCACTATTTAAAAACATGGTACTACAGAATAATTTAATCGCCTGAACGAATATTTTGTCGAATTTATCTTGCCTTCTAAGTCCAAAACTAACAAACCCAACAAACTACTTGTACGTACTTGTTTCACAAGTAAAATAAATAATGCATTTTACCATTTTAGTTAACAAACATAAGATGTTGGATATTGTGAAATTTACTATATTATTAGCCAAACATGTAGCTCATTATGAATTAAGTTGATTCTAAAATAGTGCATGGATCCATTGTCCGGTTTAACATTGGATTTAATGGATATTCGAAAGTTGAGATGTTACACATAGCTGTAAAAGAAGACTAGAATATCCCAGACTTGTTTGATTGCGGACATTATCTACATACTGATGTAAAATTCTTCAAACCCTCCGGTAGTGCTCCTAACGGATTTGATCCGACCGGCCCGAAACTGATCTAGTTATTAAAAATTTAGTATATGAATCATGACCCATATCAGTCTAGGGTCGTTCAGATCAAACCCGTTCCTCTGGCATATGCCTTTTGTATTGTGCTTATCCTTATAATTATCTAATAGATCGGACATGTGTGCAAACCGAAGAACGGGAAAGAATTAAAAAAAAAACTGACATCACTAAATGTGGCAATTTACAAATCTTTTATGTTACGTAAAACTAATAATATGCTAAATTGGCACCCTACGTGATGTCGGTTAAATGAAAGTGATTGCCACTTAAAGTTTAATTAAAAACGTAAGGGGTTATTTATTCCCATGACCTCTGGCATCTCTAAATTCTACTTAGCTAAGTTTCCTTTTTAAGTTTGTATCACTAGTACAAGTATTATTCGCTATCGATAATGACAGATATGCCTGATATGTCTGATATGCGAAATCGATACTATCACAATGGTTATCGGGGCTCGTTTCACCTTCACTTCTCCTGGCCGGAATACATAGGAATCATGGGGTCGGAGCTAACGCTGAGATAATTAAGATTACTCAAAACTTAATGAAATTAAAGAAAGTGCCCAGTCGATAATTTTGTTATAGGTATAGATGATACTGCTTAATGTAGGCCCAACTCTGGCCCAGAATACTATAAAAAAACCTTTACATGATTATAAACACAAAAAAGGAAGCACAATGAATATAAAAATAGATGGTTATCGTTACTTTAAGACGATTAGATACGAAATAGGAAATTTATTGTGTTTTATGAGCAAATTGCATTCCAATCATTTTTATTTAGAGTCCCAAATTTTGTATCTTCACTTCATATATATATATTTTTTTCATTTTGTCTTATCGGTTATATTATCACTTGCACAAATGAGTATAAACGTACTTGATCATTCAAGTCAAGAGCCGGTTAAATCATCAACCAGCCTTGCCTTACATTTTAGGTAAATATCCAATTTTTTTCTTTCATTCATTCAACTTTTCTAACATATCATGTCAATCGAGTAATCATTAATGACTAAATTGCAACATTTCGATTTTGTTTTTTTTTAGTAAGTCATCGACGTAAATTCTATTGTTCAAGTGTCAGTATTTAATAATAATACGAATTAATAGTATAACGTAACCTAATGTTAACTAACTCAAAACTGTTGACCAATGATTTTATCGGCTACCTACCTATTGTGCCAACTTTGAGTAAATAAATGTATTTTCGATTACTGCGCCACAGTGCCTGGAAACAATAACCAATAATGATAACCGCAGATTTATCTATTTAACGTTAATTCCAAACTTATCTATGTCACATGAATTTTTACCATTGACAAAGCATGTAATACTAATAATTCATACTTTTCCAGAAAAAAATATTAGATGCATAAATCGTAACTCTGGCTTTCAAATTCCTTATTTAATGATTAATTCTTTCTTCATAGACTGGCTTTAACGTTATAAATCTTTACTATTTAAAAATGCATTTCCGTATCATTTTAAAAAAGATTTTTCAAACGTATAGTATTTAATCTCTAAAATATATCATCCAATTGTATTATGAAGATTTTAAGATGGCTGTAACTGAATACATACATGCTTTACAGTCTCCTGCTCCTCAGTATGTTTTAGGTTGCTTACCTGTTATAGTAACAGTAGGTCATGCTCCAGATAATGGTTGTATAAGGAAGTTACTATGGATATTACGGTGTCTCGGTTGTCCATTTTCTGGATTGTTTTATCATTGCAACATAATGAACGACGAAACGTCGATGTGCATATATTGGCTTTCATATGATAATTTTAGCCAAGAAAATGATGAATTGGTTTCCCGTAGGCCCGTTGGTCATCATTCAATGTGCGCATTATTGACGAGTGAACAAGTTGAACACATAAATGAATGTATATCTGAAGCCTCTTTACTTGACAGGTTTTCCTCATTAGTTTCTGCTTATTACATAATTGTCGGTATATTTGTAGCAATGTACCGAATGTTGGGCCCCTGTACGCCACAAGATTGGCCTTATTTCCCTTTAACATTGGCATGGACATTACCTGCAATTTACAAAAGAGTATACGGTGGGAAAGTTGTTGCTAATGATCCTAGAAAATTGTTAAGAAACGACAGAATAATTTTGAAGAAACATGATAAAAGTTATAAAAAAACTATGGATATCTATGTCATAGTTACTGCTTTATTTTCAATTTTAATTCCTTGGACATCTGTGATTTTGGCCTACCGTACTCCACCAATTGGATATGGTTGTCGAAGCAAATTTCTTACCGCTATGTGTTCAATATGGTCGTTCAATAGTTGCCTAGCATATTTATACCATGTATTTAAAGGAGAAAAACATGTTAATGGTGATATAAAAATCCATTGTTGGTTTTGTTGCTGTGGAATAATAATGCTGATTTTTTTGATTTTTCTCGCTTTTTTATCTCATACCACATCATGGTGGGTAGTAATATTCGGTCAAACATGCGATATTTCTAACGTATGTAATGTACCAGATGCTTTCTTACCAATTTGAATGATACGTACATATGTAACTTTAATATTCGATAAATGCATTTGGTACTTTGACACCTTTTTATTAAAATAGTTGGATAATTTTTCTTTTTTCATTTTAACTTAGAGTCAACTAAAGTTTGGTTCTTTTTAATGTTCTTTATAATCAAATTTAATGGTGAAATATTTATTACAGATTTTAATATATTTTAAGCTGATTGGTGGGTTTATTACGGATCACGGGTGACGTCACCCTATGTTATAAATAATAAATTTTAAAGTTAGGGTTAACCTTTGATAAATTAGTAGCAGCCTAAATCAATAATACTTCTATACAGTATTATACATTAATTAAAGCTAAAAAAAATTTTCCATGTATTATATAAATATTGCGGAAATATTTGGAGGATAAACAACGAATCCGTTATTTTACTAATATATATTAAGGGTGACTCTTATTGTCTGGAGTGAAGCGGATGACTTAAATTCTATTCACAGTGATACAAAAGTTACAAAAGTTACGTTTTTGATGTATCCTATATCTGATATTAAAATATCAAAACCGTAATTCTGAATTTTTTGTCCGTAAATCACATGATCTGCCCTATAAATAAAAAATATCGATATGATTTGCTCAATTTATCAAATACGTACTAATATTTAATCCTACGTATTCTTCATGTTCCGGACTTACATCAATTTCCGATTCCTATTTTATAGTCAATTTATGTGATTGGACAGACAGTAAATTTAGAATTACGTTTTTGATGTTTTAATATATAAGACATCAAAAACGTAATCTTTGTATTACTGTGCATAGAATTTGAGTCATCCGCTTCGCTCCGGACAATTATTTCTGAAAAAAAGAATGAATAAATTATAGTTAGGGATTCATGTAATGTTTTTTCTTATCTAATAGTTACATAAATATATATTTCATTTATGACATTCATTTTTCATTGTTAAAGGAATACTACGCAAAAATTCCTACGTAACCATTAACTATATCAATAAACTATCATTTTCTATTGTGAGCCGTAGGATTATATTCCCGGAAGATGTGGATTTAACGGCTATGTTGATCATCTACCTAAAATGGGGGACGTCTAAAGCGGAGGTAGTTCACATGATTATCTTCCAATCAAATTATGGAATTTTGACGATCGCCGGCGAAGCACTACAAGAAAAACGAAAAACCGAAAAATACAAAAAACGGCAGTCTAAACCGCCTCGGGTAGGTTAATTAAAAATGTCGGAAGGCAATTTTGCATATATATAACCACCTAAAACCTAAACTAACCCTAACGTAAAGTGACCTTAGCCCTAAATTTGATCAAGTAAATTATTAAGAAATATGAGTTGCCTCCGCTTTAGACGTCCCCCTAAAACGAGTTTACCGGCAGTATACGTTGTATTCTCTGTATACTCTGTATCGGGTTGATAATGGATATCAGTTAATAAGGGAAATCAGTGGGATAACGAGTACAATCAGTATAATCAGTATAAACATTATATCGGTACAAGTAGAATAATAAGTAATATTTCACGAATAAGATTTATAATGTGTCCTATGTAAATGAAAGTATATAATAAAGGCGTTTCGTCCTAGAGAAAAGGGAGTGAATAGTTCGTGATTAAAATAAATTCGTCTCCTTATTATTACACATTTCCTATATTATGAATAAAATACTCACCTTTCGATCTACTGCTTAAGTAGCATAAGTGGTACGATCGTCGCTCTTGTAGTCTTTCTCACGTGATATCGTAAAGTGTATCGTTACCCTGTCCGGTTGATTCTCAACGTACTGAGGACTACCATGATTGTTCCAACTCTCCCAACGTACCATGGATAGTTGAGTTATAGAATTCCGATTTGAGGTCCAAGAGGAGGGTCCCAGCCGTGGTTTTGATTATAGGGATAGTGAGTACAAGAGTAAGTGTGTTAGTAAGCATAAGAAGACTCAAGACAAGTAGGAAGAAAGAAGACATACCTACGACATAGCACCACTCGTCAAATATAACCGCCTCTTGTTAAACCGATTCGTATGTTACACGACGTATCCGATTGAGGAGTGACCGACTCGCTGTTTAAGGTTGTCACTATATAAACATCACTTTTAGCTTTTATTTAACGAAACTATTAATTAATTCCTTATCAAATATGAATATCGATATAAAATAAATCATTAGATTACTTTATTGTATTACTTTATTGTATTACTTTATTGTATTACTTTTATTGTATTCGTTTTAAATAGATTCAATACGAATATTATTATCTGAAATTATACTAAGTAATCCATTTGAATTCTGATTAATATAGCTAATGAATTGGTTACTATAAATTGGCTACTATGAATTATATTACTATTAATATAATAATTGATGCTTTTTATTGTCATCTTTTTATCATTTTTTAGACTGTGTTAGGCTTATAAAAAAATCTTATAAACTTCAAAAAATTAATTAAATTGGATTATACATCACGGCGAATTTATGAAATTTAGCTAAAATTCGGTCATCAAAACCAAGCATTTGTTCCCCAGATTTAAATTTTA